CTTCCTTCCTCCCTTCCGTTCTTTCCTCTAGGCTGTAAACACAAAAGGACAGGCTCGTGTCTGCTTTGCCCACGAAGCCAAGCACAGTGCTCGAAGCAAATTAAAACCTATGAATGTTTGACGTCATGTGTCACTCCTCTCTGAGGCAGGGGATTCAGGTGGCAATGCAACAGTCTAGAAGCAAGACTTTGTCTAAGGTTTGCATGGTAAGTAATTTACTGTGTGAATAATAGCACAACACTGCTTGAAGCCTGCACCTCAGAAATGCTTCTTAGCATTCATCTTCCCTGCAATGCCATGTGCCTGAATAGACTACCGCGGTGGGTACAAGGAAGAAAAGAGACTCTTTGCAGTCAGACAGGCCTGTGTTTCCCTCTCAGCCCTGGCCACTAGAGAGGGTGGTAAATTGCTAAGCGGCTTTGGGCATGTTTGTTTTGTTTTGTTTTGTCTGTTTTGTTTTTGAGACAGAATCTCACTCTGTTGCCTGGGCTAGAGTGCGGTGGCGTCAGCCTAGCTCACAGCAACCTCCAACTCCTGGGCTCAAGCAATCCTTCTGCCTTAGCCTCCCAAGTAGCTGGGACTACAGGCATGCACCACCATGTCCAGCTAATTTTTTCTATATATTTTTAGTTGTCCAGCTAATTTCTTTCTATTTTTAGTAGAGATGGGGGGGGGGGTCTCACTCTTGCTTAGGCTGGTCTTGAACTCCTGAGCTCAAATGATCCGCCTGCCTCAGCCTCCCAGAGTGCTAGGATTACAGGCATGAGCCACCGCGCCTGGCCTGGGCATGTTTTCTAAGCTCTCTCTCCTCATAGGCAAATGAAAACACCACTGAAATAACATTAGTCAAGTGTTTGGCACTTACATTTTGCCATTCCTGGTTACATGGCTTGTAAATCCCAACAAGAGTATTCTTTAGAAAGCACCCTGGACCAAGTTGGGAAGATCCAGGATTACCCTGAGTACTTATTAGCCAAGTAACCTTGAAAAAGTAACCGCCCTCCCCTAGCCCCCTGGTCTTAGTTTCTTCAACTATAAAATGGAACAATAAAATCTGTCCTGTCAAATGCACCGAGCTTTTGGGAAAGTCAAATAAGTAGCTACTCGTGGAAGATATTTGTAAACCAGATTGCTGTTCATAAAAGCCTCCAAGAGCCCCACCAAGGAAGGCAGTGGGTTGGGGGTTGACCTCAGTTCCGATTAAGCTCCTGGATGTGCATGAGTCAGCGAGGCTTCCTCACCTCCCACGGGCGTGTGGGCCTGGACTCTGCTATCGCTGTTTTACAACAGCACAGGGAAAACAGGTGGCTAATATTTTTCTCAGCCCCTAAATATGAACTTGTGCAAATACATTGTTTTTCCTCATGTTTCCTACAGCTCTGAAGGGCCTCTAAGCCTGCTGAACCTGGTGGGAGGTATTACAGCAATCAACTTCTAGGACATTTTTAAATTGCCAATTTCTTCTTCCCAGCCTCTCCCATCTCCCCTGATTAACTGTCTGATAGGAACAGAAAAAGGACAAATCAAATACAACTTCCACATGCGTATTCAATCAGGGAATATTTACTGAGCATCTGCTATATGCCTGGCACACTGCATTACTTACACAGATGCCTCAGGTAAACAGACTCGGGAGAAAATATTTGCGTTATAAAAAAGTCATCCCTCTTCTCCATATGTTTCCAGCTAGAGGGGCTGTGGAAAGCTCTACATGGATACAGCTCCCCTCCAATCACTCTGGGATAGAAAATAGCTCTGAAATTACAGGCCTCCTGCAGTGGCATGTGAAGCAGTCCACAGCATCACGAGCAGGTCTTTGCCGAGCATTTAAATCCCACATACAATCCTTAGGATGCAGACAAATGCAGAGTGTGGACCATCTTACATGGCGACTGGACTAGACTTATGCAAAAAGCAAGTATCAGGAAAAGCAAAAAGGGCAGGGAGACACTGTCTAGACAGAAAGAAATTAAAGAGACATAATAACTAAATGCAATGCATAACACTCAATTAGATTTTATAGCAAAAAAACCTATTTTAAAAACATTTTTGAATAATTGGAGAAATGTGAATATGGATGGTCTATGACGTTATGAAATTATTGTCAATTGTCTTAGGTATAAAAGTGGTGTCATGGTGATACAGGAGACTGTCCTTATCTGTGGAAGTTGTGTGCTGAGGGAGTTAGGAATGACACCTACAGCTTGCTTTCAAATGCTCAGCCAAAACAAACAAACCAATAAATATGAGAGAAGAGACATAAATGTGGGGCAAAATGTCAATACCTAGTGAATCTAGATCAGTGATTCTCAACCAAAGATGTGATGTTGCTCCTCCCCTCCCAGGAGACACTGGTGAGGTTTGGGGACATGTTTGGTTGTTACACTGGGGTGGATGGGGTGCTACTCACACCTAGGGGGGCCAGGGATGCCGCTAAATATCCTACAATGCACAGGACAGCCCCCACCAACAGAAATTATCCAGCCATAAATGTAAATAGTGCAGAGGTTGAGAAACCTTGATCTGGGTGAAGGGTATGTATCACTGTAGCAATTCTTTCAACTTTTGTGTAGATCTGAAATTTTTCAAAATAAAAAGTTGAAAATAAAATTGCCCTAAAAATAACCAGTGCTCTCTCTATCTATCTCCCTGCCTATCACACACACACACACATTAATGTTCTCTGACATTTTACACATTTTCCAATGTAGCATTAGAAATACAACTTCACACATGCTTGCAGGGAGAATTTGGGTAAACATCTACCATGCACCAGAGTTTCCCTTTTCACTGTACAGGTGCAAACATGGGCCACAACTTGCTAAGCAATTTTGCATGTCTCTTTATCAGTTAACTGTTTTTAGTTAATGCCACTGGGAAGAGATGTGGGTAAAATGCATGCAAGAGCAAAGAAAGAATTATTTACTACTTTGTATATGTCTCACCTTCATAATCATAAAACCGAAGGTCAAAATGCAATTGGATAGATATGTATTTGCTTATATTGATTTATATGCAAAAATTATCTAGAAGGAAACTTTAATAACATTGGTTACTTCTGGGGAGGAAAATTAGGTGGCTGAAGGGCAGGGGTGGGTGGAGACTTTTCTATTTATACCCTGTTGCAACTTTTGAATTTTGAGCTATGTGAATATATAATTTATTCAAACAGTAAACTTAAATTATTTTTATTTATTTATTTGTATGATTTTTGTACAGACGGTCTCACTATGTTGCCCAGGTTGGTCTTGAACTCCTGGCCTCAACTGATCCTCTTGCCTCAGCTTCCCAAAGTACTAAGATTACAGGCATGAGCCACCGTACCCAGCCAAACTATTTTTCAAAAACACAAGTTCTATTCACAGTGACACTGATTAGTTGGTAGATATTGTATTTTGAGTGTAGAAGGAATTCTGAGGAATAGCTTTGTCAGCCATATTGGCATGATTGTCAATGTTAAGACTCCAGGTTTATTTATTTGTTTTTATTGTTGTTGCTTTGTTTTGTTTTGTTATAGAGCAAATTTGGTTTATCTTGTAGTGTGCTTTATACGAAGCAGCATATTTTAGAAAGGATATCATCTTAGAAGCAACAATACTCGAGTTCTAGTCTTGGCTTCAAGAGTTACTATTTCCAGACAAGGGATACAACATCTTTCCTGAGTCTCAGTGGTAAAAAAAATCTTTAAGGCCCTCCCCATTCAGAAAATTCTGGGACTCTGTCCATGTATAATGAACGTTTTCTTGAAAATACCAAACAAGAAGGAAAGGAGGGAGGGAAGGAGGGAGAGAGGGAGGAGGAAAACAGAGGCCTTAAAAGTTTTTATATTCATAAATATTGGCATTTATCCTTTGTTGACCAAATTGAATCTAATTACTTAAATTCTGTTATCTTTAAGAAAACATAGCAAACAATATTTTATCACAGATATCTGAGATGGTAAGGTACAAAAAGCCATCTATCTTATTTAGATATGACTACCAATGTGTATGTAAGTGGAATATAGAGATACAGGGAATAATAAACATAAATATCTTTATGTATACATAACTATAGTTCTCCATAATTGTTCTTTAAATCATATAATTCCAGTGTCATAAACACTCAATTGTTTATTCCCATCTTAACTATTTTTAGGTGTATATTTCAATAGTGTTAAGTATATTCACATTGTCATGCAATAAAGTCACCAGTCTCTCAAATCAAAGACAGGCAGATCCAAACTGCAAAGTTTGTATTGATACCTCTAGAGCAGTGGTTCTCACCCCTGGCTGAACATTAGAGCCATTCTGGTAACTTTTTCAAATACTAATGACAAGGCCCCATCCTCAAATGAATTAAATCAGCATCTCTGAGAATCCTTCTGTGTAGCCAGAGTTTTAGAACTGCGGCCCCAGTGCATCCTTAGAATCTGTTTTTATCAGGGCAGGAGAGATGTGAGAGGGCCAACTCTGCACTGAGGCTGGGGACCAATGCCTCTAAGCCAGACGACTTCCCCACTGGGTCTAATCAGAAGGCAAGAAACGTTCGACTGATGGCAGCTCTGATCCAAGTGTGGTCACTCCCTCTTTCTACGAATCACTCTCCTAAAGACCCTTCCTAGAGACTCAGCGTTACACCTGGGCTTCCAAACAGCTTGGAGAGAAGGGCAGACAGATGATGACGGAGAAGACAAACACAGGGCACACAGAGAGAAGTTATCGAAAAGAGGAGAAAGAAAGAGAGACAGAGAGAGAGAGAGAGAGAGAGAGAGATAGCACGCACGCATGCGTGCGCATGCGCAAAGCCAAGACAGAAGCGGGGACTGACGGAGACAGACAGACACAGAGCCGAAGAAACAAAAAAATCAGAAAGAGACTAACCAGAGACAAAAAGGACAGACCAAAGAAGGAGCGAGACTAAGGAAATAGGGGCGAAAATAAAATTGCTGGACAGTACGAGGCTATTTAAAATGTTAAGATGGGCTGAGATTATCAAGATGGTACCACGCGGTCACTTACAAAGCCACAGCCGTCCTCGTCCAGGAAAGGGTGGGCCCGCAGCAGTGCGTTGACCACATCATTGTACTGCTGGGTGGTGGGGTACCTGTTAACCGCAACAAGGAGGATATATTTCACTTCAAGCTGCCCATGTTCCTTCCTTTAAGATGAGTCGAAATTATACTCAGTTTTTCTTTAAATCTTTCTACATAACAAAATAGACATTCAAATATTGGGCAATGTTGGACATATTACCAATATGTCATCCCCAATCTGAAAAGAGTTGATTCCAAATGAATTCTACTCTACTCTGAAAACAGACCCTCTCCCCAAGCAGAAAGTCTGCACTGTTAAGACTCACAGCGAGCCCTCCAGATACTTAGTCATGTCCGCCTGGAGAAACTCAATGATCCTTATCCTCATGCTGTGGTCGGGACACTTCTGCTCTGCCAGCATGCATTTGACATCATAGGGAAACTCCGGTAAAACATACGACTTTGTCCACTGTAATGCTTTGTTCCTTGCTAGAACATGGTTCACATTTCTTCTGTGAAATAAAAACACACAAAAAGTAAAATTCTATTCCAAATGTATGCAACTTATTAATTCTTTACATTCTGAGAACTCCTAAACAACTTTCCTGAGACCTAAATAAATGAAAGTCATCAAGCCATCTTCCATCCATGTACTTATCCACGAATGTTTGAAGGCTCATTGTCTCTGTCTCTTCACGTACACATAAATAATTGTAGTTCTAAGAAAAAAGTCATAATAAAATAGACTTTAGAATAAGCCTGAAGTTGGAAAGAATAGTAATCCATTTTTCTTTAAGAGGTAACATGTAATGCATAGCTCAAAACTAGATGAGATACCTAACAAAAAGCAAATAAGTTGCAATTCAGCAAAGCAAATGAGGTGTACCATAATATCTTAGCACTTGATTAAGAAAATTCTTCTAATTAATTTATTCTGCTGTTGTTTATAGTGAAATACAAGATCCACCTAATTTAGTTGGTCTTGTCTATTTTAGTAAGATAAACCTAGTTTCCTTTTTTTTTATTTTGAGACAAAGTCTTGCTCTGTCACTCTGAGTAGAGTGAAGAGGTGTGATCATAGCTCACTGCAACCTCCAACTCCTGGGCTCAAGTGATCCTCCTGCCTCAGCCTCCTGAGTAGCTGGGACTATAGGCATGCGCCACCACATCCAGGTAGTTTTTTCTATTTTTTGGTAGAGACGGAGTTTCGCTCTTGCTCAGGCTGGTCTTGAACTCCTGACCTCAAGTGATCCTCCTGCGTTGGCCTCTCAAAGTGCTAGGATTACAGGCATGTGCCACCATGCCCCTCCTGATAAACCTAATTTCTAAATTAAAAATAAATATCGGGTATTCTGATTCCCTTCAGGTGAAGTTTCTGCAAAAGACTACAGAAAATTATAACTACAGAAAGCAAATCGAGGGTTGCCTAGGGCTGAGGGTGGCCAAAATGGGTCATGATAATGGCTGTATAACTGTATAAAGTTGCTAAAATTAACAATTGATCTATACCCTTTAAATGAGTTTTACGTTATATAAATGAAACAGCAAGGCTGTATATAAAAATTATCAGAACCACTTTGAAACTTTAAAATTAATGACTGATCGTTGGGTGTGTCAAAAGAAGAATCTATAGTAAAATTTCCAAGCAACAATTAATCAAAGGCACTAGGTAGCTTTCAACCCATTTCACTAATAGGACTGACTGCGAGAGAAGTGAAGGAAAAGAAAGAATCCAAGTAGAAGACAACAGAAAGGTTTTCTAAATTAGCCAGTTAGGTTAATTTTCTGACAGCCATGGAATCCTTAGTGGTCCAAACAAAATTCAGGTGAGTTTTGAAAGACCAGGCTTCATTTAGCATTTTAGGCCACCCTTTATAAGAATGCATATGCTATAATGGAATGCGGGGAGTAAAGTGTGCAGGAGAAAGCACTCACATCTCTTTTTATGACAAGCTCCCTTTCCTTTTCTCTCCCTTTGGCAGTCACTATATCAGCGGTGAAAATATGTCCTGGCTAAAATAAGCACACCGATAATTTAAAACTTGATTCAATATGGCAACAGGCAATTTCCAGACATAAATCTCTACTTCAGCCCAGATTATTTTTCAGTATGTTTCACTCTCATTTCATTCATTCATTCAACCAATATTTATGGGGTGGGGTCTCCTAAATGCCAGTTATTCTTCTACAATCCCCATTTCTTTCCATATTCTGTAATTTATTTCTTTCTCCCATGGCCAAATTATCTCCCCCTTGTTTACTGAGACCAAGGGTTATAAAGTAATGACAAGTTTTCTTGGTTGTGTTTTGTGCCTTCCCAGGGTTTGAAAAAGGCGATGGAACTGGGCCTGTGTTAAGCTTGGTTTCAGTACATTTTAGCATCTGTCTCCTTTTCCCCAGAGATATTCAAGAAGCTAAGTAAGCTGCATGCCCCTTTCAGACTTTTGAAGTTGTTCTCTCTTATGTAGTACCATACCAACAGATAACTTCAATATGCCAATGATATAAAATGGGGCTTGGTATAATTTCTGCCTTCTTGTTCTACATATTTGGCCTGTATGTCTTTTCTCTTCAAATCAGGGCAGGGACTATAACACATGGTATTATTTCTATCAAACATCCAGAATGTAGCTAGATATATAGAGTCCACTGAAGACAGATACTCTATCTTGCTCCAAATAGAGTTATTAGGCAAAACCGGAGGCATCAAATTTTCCTTTTCTTTACATTAAAACAATTTAAAAGGTATTCTGGAAGTGACTAGAATCCAAGCTATGCTAACTAATGCAAGTCAAAACGAGTATTACCCAAGAAAATTGACTCATTAGAAATTAAAAATACATTTTCATTTGGAAGCAGATATAATAACTTCAGGCACAATCATTTCCCGTCTGTAAAACTATATTTGCATTGGACTAAAAAATATCTTTACTGTCAGGCTAAGATGATTCCTAATATCTTTATTAAGCTAGAGTTGGGCAGGACACCAGTACAAGTCAGCCAAAAGTAAGGGCAGAGAGCAGAAAACGCTTCAAACTCAGAACACACTCATATTTCTGTTCCCACCTCAGAGCCAGAAACAAAATCAGCACCACAAAATAACAGATCTCTAATTCAGTAGATCTCAACCCCAGATGCAGAGTAAAATCAACCAGAAAGCTTTTAAAACATGTTAATGCCTGGTATTGGCCCCAGTCTAACTGAATCAGAGTCTACTGTTTACTAAACATTCAGTTTATATGTACAGTTCATATTTGTAATCAAATAAAACTTATAATAAAGTTGAGCTGGCACATTTGATAATTGGCAGTATCATTATTATATTATGCACTAATTAAAAAAAAATGATTAGATGGAAGTTTTGACAAAAAACCTCATTGACTCTCCAACTTTTTCTAACTTAAGTAAGAGTGAAAAAGCATCCAATTCTTCTCCTGCTCCCAAAAAGCAGATAGTGTGCTTGGATGAGGTTCACATAGGGTAAGGAAGATGGCCCTGTGAAAAACAGGTCCGGTGAGTACCAGCTCTCTAAGGAAAAAATCTGAATGTGCAGAAGCACAGAGGTTGAAAATTGGTAGGGAGCAGAAGAGACACAGATGTCACATGAGGGCAGGGACTATTTGTTTTATCTCTACTGTATATAACATCGTTTAGCAGAGTTGATGCACAATGATTTTTTCGAAAGAATGAACAGGGTCAGCTGAAAGGACTCGTTTTCTAAGCAGGGCTGAACTCAATTTGCTCTGGGCAAAGTTGTGGACATGTCAGTGGTCCCTGATGACATTCACTGCCCTGGTAATCTGACTCCACATTTATGCTTCCTACATGTCTTTCATACCACCCCACCCTGCTTTTCCTTAGCCTCTTTCATCTGAATCTCTTCCCAATCGTTTCACTGAACCTGCTTCCTCAAAAGTCAATCATGAATTTCTAATTCACACATCCAGAACCTTTTGACAAGGCCCTTTTTCAAGACCTCCCAGAGTGCATTTAGCACTGTCAACCACTTCCTCATGACCCTCTTTTTTTCCTTATCTTCCTTGGCACTATTTTACTTTCTTGCTTCTCTTCCTTTCTCTCTGACAACTTGTTTTATTTGCTGCTTTATTCCTCCTTCGCCTTCCGTGAGTTTGCGCATGGCTTGGTCCTTGCCTCTTTGTCCTGTGCATTCATCTCTGCTTTCTCCCCCAGAGAACTCATCCAGCCCCACGGCCTCAGCTCTGAGCCCTATGTTGATGGATCATACATAAAAATCTATTATCAATAATTTCCTCTTTTCCATCCTGCATTCCAGATCTCCAACAACTTGTACATTGTTCATTTCACACTTGGAAAGTCCAAAATAATTTATAATCTTTTTTTGAAAACCAGGTTCTCATGTGCTATGGACTGAATTGAACTCCCCCAAAATTCATATGTTGAAGTGCTAACCTCACCTCTATGTGACTGTATTTGGAGACAGGCCTTATGGAAGTAGTTTAGTTTAAACGAGGTCATAAGGGTGGGGCCCTGATGTGAGAGAATTAGTTTCCTCATAGGAAGGGGCATAGAGAGTTTTCTTTCTCTCTATGTCATGTGAGGACTGAGAGAAAGGTGACCATTTGCAAGCCAGAAGAGGGCCCTCCCCAGAAACTGAATCTGTCAGTACTTTGATCTCAGACTTACAGCCTTCAGAACTGTAAAAAAAATTTCTGTTGTTTAAGCCACCCAGTCTGTGGTATTTTGTTACGGCAGCCTGAGCTGGCTAACACAGCAGTCCAATTTCCTTGTCTCTTTTACTGTACTTCTCTTAGCAACTCCAGCTTAATACCTTGACATCTTTTTTATCTTCATTCCTCACTCCTAGGTGTCGAGCAAACTTTTCTACATTTTATTTCTTGTATTTGTTTACTTCTCTCCATGGTTCATGCTACTATGCTAATCTAAGCACTTACCACTCAAATGTGGGCTACTTCAGTAGTTTACCAGCAGAGCTTTGCTTCTGGAATAGCCTAATAAGCTCACACTGGACCAGCTATCCCACAAACATTAACCATAAACATTGAGCAAAATAAAAAGAAAATTAAATAAGAACATTGAAGAGTGAAAAACGACAAGCAGATTCTGAAAAGGAGATCACACTTGGAAGAAGAGGAAGATATTGGACACTGGGTGAGGTCCCCCTTTTATGGCTTTTGGATTGAAAGCAGGCCTCAGGTAGTGCTGCTAAAACTCTCACAGAAACATGTAGTCTTTCTGGACTACAAAACTAGTAGACAGAGTTTGGGACAACCACTTCTGTGAAAAAGAAGAGGAAAATCCCAGAAATGAAAAATCGAAGGAGGGAACATTCCAAATTCTATGTATAAACTGTTCAAATCTCTGGATGACCTGGAACCACACATGTGCTTAGCCCAACTAAAGATAAAAGAACTAAACTAAAATTCAAGCTGACACCCAAGAGACAGAGTTTTCTGTTTGAGTCCAACCAATTTTGCTGCTTGCTAAAACAAACTAACAATCAATACTTTTT